ACAGGGCCAGCCCCAGGGGAGGGATTGAGAGTGGGGTTGCAATCGCCCACTCCACTCTGGGATTGCTGACTCTCTGGGCTTCCTGTACAGTGTGGAGCAGACAAATGAGCAGCCCTGGACAATGAGACGTGAAAGGAAGTCTTTCCAAGGAGATGGGAAAAGGATTTTCATCCTAGATTAAAAGAGTGCAAGGAGTTTTTTTTTTTTTTAAAACCCACCACTCAATATTTTCGTTGGATCTTGAACTTCATTAATAAAGTGATTCTTGGGACTAAGGCAGTTATCTTGTGACTATGAGGCAATAAGGCTAATGATAGAAAGCAAACACACAGGATGGGGAAGGTTGAACATGGCTGGTTACTGGATGGGATGTTTCCTTGACCCTGAAGCCATCTATCTGCAGTTGTGTCTGTGAAATGATGAGATGGCTGAGTGTTAAACCTCTTGGTGGGGGTCTGAAGCTCGTAGCTGGATGCATTCCCAGCACAACCCTGGTGCTCTATACACTACATTTTGATCCTCAAGTTTCCACTCCCAAATTCCAGACAGCAGGATCAGCCCCTATTTCTAGGAGTGGTTGACACCCTGCCTTCCTCCCTCGGGGGCTGATGTGAATCTACTCGTACCTTGTGCAAGAGGAAAGAGGTGCAGAGAAATACACACCTCTGGGGGAAACTTGGGCATTGACGTGACCTCAGCGGGCACAGCACCGGCTTCCAATTGGAGGCCTGGACTCCTCCTCTGAGCTTGGGGTGGTCACAGAGAATCTCCACGCCTGAGCTCCATGGTGAGTGTAGCTTGCCAGGTGCCACGACCAGCACTTCCCTTACGCCAACTCGTTTCATCTTTACAGCAGTCCTGTGAAGCAGAATCTATCATTCAGTCCACTCTGCAGGTCGGGAAACTGAGACACAGAGCTAGTCAGTGCCTTAAAAGGGATGTGACACCAGGCACTTGACTCTAGAGTCCATATGCTTTGCTGACACGCTGGAGAGCTGATTAGCAGTGGCTTCTGTCATAAGCACTTCTGTCATTTACTTTGAAAGGAGTTTGGTGCGGTGCTAGGGTTTAGATCTGAAACATCCCCCTAAAGTCTCATGCGTGTGGGAGGAGATTGGATGCTGGGGACGCTGTTGTCACCATGGGATCCTCCGTTAATGAGTTCAGTAGCTGAAGGTGCTGCTGGGAGCTGGGGCCCTCTTGGAGGCAGGTCACGGGGGTGTGACAGAAGGCGGGGTTCTTGTCCCTGACTCCCCACTGCTCTGTTTCGGGCTGCCATGGGCTGGGCACCTTCTCCCCCTTCCCGTCCCTGTGCCATCCTGCTTCTGCCTTGGAGCCAGCTGACATAGACTAAAACCATGAACAAAAATACTGTAAATTTTTTCCCTTTTAAGTTGCAGGAGTCAGGTATTTTGTCTCAGCAACAGAGAGGTAACTAATAGATGCAGTCAGTCCTGGCGTCCTCCCATCTTGACCTTTGACATCCTTGGCGCACTCTTTGTTGCAAAAGAGTGGCTCAGGTGGGGTATCCCTTTTCCCATGGCGGTGTTCCAGGGAAAAGAGGAGGAGCAAGGACAGCACCGTGAACTCCTTAGGGAGCTGTCTCTCTGGAGCACTCATCTCAGCTGACTTCCGGTTTATCTCATTGGCCAGCGCCAGGTCACGTGCTTACCTTGGGCCAATCACTGGCAGACTGGAACGGGTGTGCTCTAATCAGCCATACCAGTGCTGTGTATGCCCTGGGGCTGGGCCTCCCGTGCACCAATCAGGGCTCAGAGGGCAAAGAAGGAGGGGATGATGAGAGCCAGGTAGTTGGTGGCGTCTATGCTTCATCCTAAACTCTTCACATGTTACCCCAAGTCATCCGGCTGTTGTCATTACGAGGGGTACCAACCACAGGCCGTCAGTGACTTGTGGGTGATCGCCTGGCCAGGCCGGGGGCACCTGTATTCAAATAGGAGCCACTTAGAGTCACACTGTCCACTCTTTAGCCAGGGCTGCAGGTAAATGACAGGACCCTCTGTCAACTGGAATTCTGAAGAAACAAAGCAATGTTTCAGGATAAGCGTGTCTGTCCCAAGCGCAGCACATGCCGTGCCTGCCCACCCCAAAGCATTAGTTATTGACCTGAAATTCAAGTCGAACTGGGCATCCCGTATTCTTGTCTGTGAAATTTGCTGATTCTCCTTCTCATCAAGCAGGAAGCATAAGCTGAGACGTGAGCTTCGGGTATAATTTGTCTCAGCGATGAGCACCACGGACTATCCCTCAGCTCCATGAAACCTGACCCCTCGGGCATTACGCTGTGTTCTCCCCCTTTTGATATAGAAACAGGCACAGGGAAATGTGTCAGAAAAACACCCGTGTGAGCGCTGTGGTGAACGGCACCTTCCGTCTGGCCCTCGGTCCAGGTAGGCAGTGTGGAATTCGGGAACGGGAGAGTCCCTTCCTTATCCGCCAGTCAGCCTGTGCCAGTGGGATTATGGACCCAGCCCAGTCCAATCTTACAGCCTCAAAAGACGCTGCAAGTGGACGTTTGTATGTGACTTCTCTTAGTATGTGAATGTTGGTGTAAATTTCATGAAAATCCTGGGGGTCAGAGGAATCCTGCCTGCAAGGTGCTGGGTGCCTGGGGAAGCCGGCTGCTCAGCTGTGGAAGAGGAGGCTGCATATGGTGCTAGGTAGGCTGCAGAGGAGAGGCCTTGGCTTCAGGAATTGGAGCCTGCTTGGGGTAGGATGCAGCCAGACCTGAGTGCAAATCCCCTGTCCACCAAAGCGCTACTGTGCACCATGGCTGGGTTGCATAGCCTCACTGTTTCCAAACCATAGAGCTGAGGCAACCCCTCCATCTGACTGTGAGGGGTCCAGGGAATGGCTGAGCAGAGAAGGCACCTGACACAGCGGGGGACGGGCGGGTGAGGGGTTGGGGGCGGGAGGTGTTGAGTGGGGAGTGTTCCGCAAATGCTAATTCCCTCCCCTCCCCTGCGAAGGGCTCTGGCTTAGAGCTTGTTGATTTGTGCATTGTTTTTTCCAACTCTATCCCTTCCCTCCTTCCTCCCCCTTCTTCCTTTTTTCTTGTTTTTCTTCTGTAATTAAACAGCATAAAGACTTAGGCCTAGAATTCAGGAAGCCTCGGCTTCACTCCAGGCTTGGGGGAGACCTGGGGAAGATCCTCCTCCTGGGATGGGGAGCGGAACTGACCGGAGACCTGGGTCTCTCCTGCGCCAGGGGCTTGGGGTTCTGCAGCCTTGGATGGGGACAGCAGGGTCGGAGAGGTGGCCTTGGTGGGAGGGCCCGGGTGGCAGCTGAGTCAGAGTGTGGTCCTAGGTTGAAGGCGTGAGCACCCCGGCAGGGCCGCCTGTGGGGACTTGCAAGCCTCAGAAGGCAGAAGCCTGGCGTCACCACAGGCTGTAAACACCCAAGGAGGGGGGCTGCTCCCTGCTTATCTCGGATCTGCCTCAGGCCCCTCCCAGGGATTTGGGGGCAAAGCTCAGAGTAAATCACCCTCCCCTTGAACCTAGGATCCCCGGCCCCTCCTCCGACCCTTGGCTCGCTCTCCAGGGACATCTTCGGACACCACCACTCCCCACGCTCAGCCGCTCTCCCGCCTGCTGGCTCCGCATGCACTGTTCCCACTGCCTGGGGTTGAGCGTGTCCTCTTCTCAGACCTCACGAGGCCAGGCTTCCTCATCCTCCGCATCTGAGCTCAGATGTCACCCCCGCAGTGGGAAGCGCTTCAGCTCCTTGGTGGTGCTATGTGTCCCATGGGCCCTTTACCTGCCCCGCCAGTCACTTGGGGCTGCTGTGAGCTATCCACGGGCCCCTAGGTGGCTCAGCTGCCTCCCCTTTTCCTGACTGTGGGGACTGTTTCTGCTGCTGTGACCCAGCTTGGCCACCGAGCAGGCGTAAATGGCCAGAGGTTTATGTCTGGCCCAACTGACCTCCTTGGCCCATTTCCCACCAGCTGGGGCCCATCCCCTCCCAGCTGCAGCCACACTGGCCTTCTTCCGGTTTCTCCGCCCCTCCAGGCTTGGTCCTGCCTCCGGGCGGCTCATTGCTGGAATGCATGTCCCCAGCTGTCTCCTCAGTCACACCTCAGCCAAGGCCCCTTCCCCACCCCACTTTGTTCCTTCACGTGTGCCACTGTCTGAAGTTACCTTGCTTATTTATAGATATTTGACTGTCTTATAGGTGAGTTCATGGCTGTGGCAGACAATGCGCAGCTTTTCCCAGCCTCCCTTGCAGCTAGGTACAGCCACATGCCCGAATCCTGGCCAGTGGGTTGGAAGCAGGTGTTGTGTGGCAAATCCTAGAATCCTTCCTGGAGGTTTAGTTGGTGCCTGCCTGTTATGGTTTGTGTCTGGATGTCCCCACAAAGCCTCATGCAGCCATGGGGTAGCAGGCTTCTCAGAGGTGGCTGAGTCTAGAGTTTGTGACTGATTCATAGTGCAATGCTGGGATTAAGGGTACTGGGATTAAGGGTGGGTGACTGCTGGGTTGATCCACTGGTTGGATTGGTATTGCCTTAATCCCGGTAGACTGAACACAATATAAAAGGGGCAGAAAGATGGTGTTAAACTCTCTCGTTGCTTTTGCTGTCTTCCACTGCCATGAACTGTTGCCCCTCTGCCATGTGACACTCTGCCTTGGAGCCAGCCAATTATGGACTGAAACCTCTACAAACTATGAGCTAAATAAACCTTTCCTTCTTTAACTTTAGGGGTCGGACATTTTGTCTCAGCAATAAGAAAATTAACTAAGACACTGCCCTTTACATACCACCCTTTCTTTTCCACTTTGCTCTCTGGAAGACAGATGGAAAGGCTGGTGCAGTGGCCTCCATCTTGGGTCATGAGAAAGAGGGCTGTTCCCTAAGAATGGCAGAACAGGGTGCAGGAAGGAGCCTGAGACGCTGAGGGCTTCACAGAGTTGCTACTTGCTCCCCTCCCCCACCCACATCTGCACTTCATTCACACAAGAGAAAAACAAACCTCTTTTTTGTTTATTGTTCATTTTTTCAAATTAGATTTATTACATTTTATTGTGACTACATTTGTATACCTCAAGCATTCCAATCTGATAGAAATGTCAGTGAGCGTAGAGACTGGATCTTTGTGTTTTAAGATACAGTCCACAGGACTTTATTTACTATGGGAAGAATTTTAGTTGGAGTAATCAGAAGAGCCCTGGGCCAGAAAGGGAAAGCCACTTTCCTGAGGCCACCCAGCAGGGAGGGGCTGAGCTGGAGTTTGACTCCAGGGACCCAGACCCTAACCCCTAAACCTCATTTTTCACAGTCCGCTTGAGGCGCTGCTGGGCCTGCCCCAGGCTCATCCGGGACTCGGGACTCGGGGCAGGGACATGTCCACCCACTCTGCCCTGCAGCCCAGAGCATGCTGGGAACTCCGGAGAAGAGCCGCTGCAGCTCCGTGGGGGCGGAACCCCAGCTGACTGCACCTGGGGAAGACCCCCCTCTCCAGGCCTTCGTTTCCCCAGGGAGCAGCAGCCCCAGGTCCCTGGTGCTGTGGGTATCCTAAACTGCTGTGCTTCAGCCGTCTGACCTCCGGGAGGACACAGGGCTGTCCACACAGAGCGGAGGCTTCTGCGTCGCTGCTGTGTCGTCAGTGACGGGGAGGCAGCTCACTGGGTGTAACTTCTGCGTCAGTTCTGGGTTCCAGTCCAGAACCCACAGAGGCCACCATGTGGGCCTGAGGCCGCTGCTGTTCTTGAGTCTTCTCCAGTCACTGTCCCGCCGTCGGTGCTGGGGACTCATGGTGCCAGGGTGGACGAGGGCCGTCCCTTCTGCAGTTGGAAAGACACACAGATGCACTACCCACTCCTCTGTCTCCTGCCCCAGCTGTCCCCCTGTGTCTTGGGTCTCAGCCCTCGGAGCCGTGCCCTGCAATGAGTTCAGCCCAGGGTGAGATGATATCCACAGCGACTTTGCTTTCCTGTGCACCGTCCCCCGCCCTCGTCTGCTCCCAGCACCCAGCAGGCCTGGCCCCAGCACCAAGCACAAGGCCCAGCACATAGTAGGTGCTCAGAAAACACTTGCTCCATGAATCCATGCAGTTGATTTCAGATGTCCCTCATCAAGTTAATTTTAAAGGTGTCCCTGCTCCCATGGCTGTTTGGCTTGAAAGTTTTCTGTGGCCCATGTGACATGCAAGCTGGACTCATTCTGAAAGACCTGTGTGTAGGCAATGGTCTTGATGAAAGGACTGACAGAGAGTCGTATGGTGCAGATTGACCCCTTGGGCAAGTGGAACCCTTCTGTGCCTCAGTTTCCACATCTGTGAAATGGGCCTCACAACAGAAATTACCTCCTAGCAGGCTGTCGACCTTGGCCCATGGACATTTGGGGCCAGATCCTCTTCACCAGTGGGGCGTCCTGTGCGTTGTGGGCTGTGGTGCTGCATCGCTGGCCTCCACCCACCGGAAACCAGAGCATCTCCCAGTCGTGACAACGTAGAGTGTCCCCAGAGAGAGCCAGCGTCTCCCAGGAGACGAAACTGTCCCCAGCTGAGAAGCATGGCCTCATGGGGTGGCCCTGGATGTGGAAGGAGGTGCTTTGCAACATATTACCGGGCACAGGCCACATGGGGGCTGCCCCAGGATGACGCATCTGTCTGGGTCAGGAGTGCAGCTCTCTGGGCTCAGCTGCTTCAGTGGCCTAATGGGGTGGAGCAGCCCTGGGGGTCCCCGGAGCTCACACGGTGCTCAGGATACCATGGGAGCTTAACAAACGGGATTCTGAGGAGGACGGGACGATGGCCCCAGGGGATAGCAGCAGGTTGCCTTGGGGGCCTGGACCTTGCCCTGCACCCACGGGCACCCACAAGCACAGATGCCCCTGTCCAGGAGGGCGCTGGCTCTGTCCCCTAGCCCTGTGCGGCCATGTAATAATTAAGCCGGGGACGGGAGGACAAGGCTGAAAGGCCAGCAGTGCGGAGGCCTGGCCTTGCTTGGCTTTGGTGACGTGATGGCCCTGGGATCACGGCCTTCTCCAGCCCATAAACAAGGGGTTGGGCCCTGAGACAGGCAAGGCCAGGCCAAGGTCTGCGCTGGTGGCCTCCTGGTGGAGTCCTGCAGGCTGGGTGCGCCCTGCTGGAGGGGGCTGCTGTGAAATGAGAGCGGCGTCCCGGGGCAGCGCCTGCCTACACCGCGCTTGTGGGGTCTGGGCCTCTGCTTCCCTCTCCCGCCCGCTCTGGGGCCCGCCCTGCTGTACTGAGCACGGGCTTCACGCAGGGCTCATGGAGCACTTTACGCAGCAGACCCCCCAGCGCGAGAGGTGCTCCGTCCCCTCCCCAGTGAGCCCGGCCCTGTCCCCAGGCCACTGACAGCCCGGGGGGGTCGGAAGCTCCCAGAGTGGGGTCCTCGCCGGGCTCTCAACTCCCAGACCAGCTCTTCTGTCGTCTCTCTCTCTCTGTCTCTCTCTGTTTCCCTCTGTCTCTGTGTCTCTGTGTCTCTGTCTCTTTCTCTCTCTGTCTCTGTCTCTATCTCCCTCTCTGTCTCTCTGTCTCTCTATCTCTCTTTGCTTTGCCTCTGTCTCTGTCTCTCTCCCCCTACATTGATCTCTGTCTCCTCTGTCTCTCTGTCTCTGTCTCTTTCTCCCCCTGCATCGGTCTCTGTCTCTGTCTGTCTCTACTTCTAACTCATTTCCCCTCCTCCCTCCTCCCTCTCCGGGTCTGTCTCTGCCATCTTCCCATTTGTTTTCTCTGCCTCTCTTTCTGGCCCCCCTTTCTGCCTCCCCCCTCGGTCCCTGCATTTCCTTTGCTCCCCCTGCCCCCCATCTCCCTCGGACGGCCCCACCTCTGTCTCTGCAGTCAGCGCTTGTCCCCACGCCAGCACATTATGTCCCTGGTCAGACCCTGACGTCAGGCGGGGCCTGGCAGGCGGCCACGGGACGCTGCCGGGCAGGCAGGCGGAGGGAGCGCATTTCCCGGTCCCCGAGGCAGTGTGGCCACCTGCCCGGTCGGCGCAGTGCGGGCTGCAGTCCTCCTGCCCTGGCCTTTGCTGGCCTCCTGGGAACTGGGGCTGCAGGCCACCTGCCTTTGGCCTTCTCTCCCATGAACTCACAGCTATGAGAGAAAAAACCCCTGTCCCTGTTTGTCCCCAGGAGTGTGTGGGACAGCAAGGAGCCTGCCTGTGTGGCCCTGGCCAAGTCTGCCTCTCTGTAAAAGGAGGCCTCCAGGCACCTGCCTCTCAGGTGTGCCAGGCGCGCCAACCCAGCATCCGAGGCGGCGCCACCGGAGAAGGGGTGTGGGGAAGAACTGGGAACTCGGGGGGTGTCACCGTGACGGGAACGTGGCTGGGGATTAGTGGGTCGGGATGTGTGTGCCTCCGGGGATGCCAGGCAGAAGGAAGGCCCCACCCCAAACCCACACAGGGCCCTGCTGAGAAACCCTCCCTAAGTGCCCAGTCTCAGGGCCATCCGAGCTTCAATAAGTGGTTTTTTAAAAATGTAATATTTCTTGTTCGGTTTGTTTGGGTTTTTACCCCCTGAATTTCACAGCAAGGCAGTTTCCTTGAAGGACATCTCCCTGAACTTCCTGATTTAAAAATAGGGTCAGACAGATCTGGGTCAAACCCAGCCATGGGACCTTGGGCCATGGCTTTATTCCCTGGCCTCGGTTTCCTCATCTGTCAAGTGGGCTAGTAAACAGGGGCACAGCTGTGGGGAGAGAGCAGAGCCTCATCTGTAAAGCACAGGACGGGGGCCTCACTGTGGAAAAAGGTCTCTGTGCAGGGGGCTTCGCTTCTTGTTTGTTTTGTTCTCACTTGAAGATATTCAGAAAAGGACAAAGAAGAAAACAAGAAAAGTCACCCAGAGAGAACACTGCTGTTCTCGGAAACCCGCTCGCTAACACATTCGTACCGAGCCCCTACTGTCGCCTGCTTGTTCACGGGAAAACCCTGACTTGCAGTTGTCTGACGATGCCTCCCCTTACGATTACACAGCGCACTGTACTGACCACTATACGATCATGGCTCGCTTATTGTTACACACGGGACAGACGCGCACATCTGGAAGGCCCGGGGGTCCTGCGAGGAGCGAGGCTCCCTCCGCACTCCTCACTTCCCTCCTCGCCGGCCGAGGCCTGTCTCCGTGCGCCTCCTGAATCACCTTCGGACACGCGACCCCCACACCCTGTGCTGTCCTGCCCTCTTCCTCATTGTCGTTCAGTCACTTGATTGTACGGAAGGACCTCGTGAAGACTTCCACCCCACTGTCAGGGGAAGGAGAAGGCAAGAAGCAGGATCAGCCCGCGTCCCTCCCAGCGAGCGATTCGGAGTGTGGCTTCCGGGCCGTCCGTCGCTCTGCACATCCCGCGGCCCCGGGAGTCCCTCCCTGGTCCCCACCGAGGCTTGGGATGGTGTTTGCGTCCTGGTGCAATCTTCGTCTGCCTTCCTCGGCCTACAGAGAGTTCCAGGGGGCAGAGACAGCCACATGCAACTCCCCCTCCCAGCAGCCTGCACGCACATAGCAGGTCCGCACTGACTGTTCCCTGAATGAAGGAATGAGTGAACGAGTGGGTTTTCACAGCTGTCCAATGCACTATAGTGTCCTGTGGGCTGGTTTTTCCTTCAGCCTATCGGGCGCGTCCTCCCACATCTCTGTGCAGGCAGTGGCCCGGCTTCTTTCTCACGTCTGCACCGAGGCGCCACAGTAAACATCTTTCTGACACTGACCAGAAGCTGTTTCTGCCCCCAACCGGGAAGCTCCTTTTCAGATGCAGATCTGTTAATAAATTCCATGTGATTCCCCACCCCGAGCCCTCTGGCCGGTTACTGTTAGCCCCGAGCCTTTACTGGTTACATGGGCACATTGTTTTCTAAGACAAGTCAAGATTTACTGTCTTTGACATCATGTTTTTCCAGAGAAGCTTAAGACTGAAGAACTCAGCCCTCCCCACTTGCTTCTACCAGTTAAAGGTCTGTAGATTCGCTGCCTGCCGTTGGGAAGCTCTGTGTAACCCTTATCTCCCTGGCTGTGTCACTACTGACATCCCTGAGTCCTTCCTACCTCAGGGCCTTTGCACTGGCTGCTCCCGCTGCCTGGAATAGCTGGCCTCGGAGATTTGCTACCTTGCTTCCTCACCGACTTTAGGGCCCTGTTCAAACACCACCTCTCAACCATTTTTCCTAATGAACATCTCTAAGTCACCCACCCTGTTTTCATTTCTTTGTAAGACATTGTATGTGATGTCATATTAGCATTTTAGGGGCTGTCCATCTCACTGTGAAGGCAGGAATCTGTCTTCTTTGCCATAGTGGCCCAGGATCTCAGACAGGTCTGGGAGCTACACAGGAGTCCGGAGTACTTTGGTGGAATCACTGTATGTTAACTCCAATGACCAGCGCCTCCTTCACGGCCCAGGGCCTGATGTCATCATGGGGTCACCAAAACTTATCCACGGAGCACCCACTGGATGGCCTGACCTGCTGGGTACTTAGGCAGGCGCGTCCCTCCCCCGGTAATGGAGACACAGCCGCCTCAGGTGACCACTCTGTGTTGGCTCGCTGATCCTGGAGGGGGCAGCAAGGAGGCGCCGGGGCGCCTGCGGACGTGGTCTGACTTGGCTCTTCCCGAGCTGGGCAAACCACAAAGGTGACACGTAAGGCGTGTGCCCGTTGGCATCTTCGCTTCTCCTCGCTGTGCTCGTGTCCTGTCGGAGGAGATGGGGCAGAGCGAAGCTCTTCTGCTTCCTTTGAGGCCCCGTGTGGGCTCTGCCGGGCTGGCCTTGCCCTCCATTCCAGCTCCCTGGCACCTCACCCCCAGCCCACGGGACTCTCCTGCCACTCTGGCCACGCACCTCCAGGGAAGGCCCCAGAAACACGCTTGCCCAGCCTCCCTGTGGCCTGGGCTTGGCCCACCCAATGTCCCTGCTCCAGGCGTCTGAATGGAAGAGCACAACGGGACAGCACAAGGGGTGTGGAGAGGACACCGGTTTGGAATCCAGGTATAGGAGGACCCAGGTATGGGCCCCAAGTGGGGAACTTGTCCCAGAGGATGCCACGGAGGGGTCACTTGCTTGAAAGTGGACCCATCGGGGTTGCTCTCCCCAGGATTAGGATTATGGAATTGTGGAAGTGGCCATCCAGGGCTAGGAGAGTGGGTTTGCAAAACCAGGGACTTGGGTTCTTTTCTTCTTATTGTTCCACTTTGGCCCAGGATGGCTACTCAAATTCTGACCATCATATCTGCATTCCAGGCAGCAGGAAGGAGGATGGGAAAAAGGTGTCTCTCCCTAAGGACACTTGGAAGTTCCTTATATCCCATTGGGCACAATTGAAGTCAATGGACTCATCTAGCTGCAAGAAAGGCTGGAAAGTGCAGTTCCTCCCTGCCCCAGGTGTGCACATGCCCCACAAGAGCTTAGAATTTCATATATATATATATATATATATATATATATATATATATATATATATATGGAGAGAGAGAGAGAGATCTCAGAATTAACACAATAAGCAACAATTAAAAATAATTTCCAGGAAGATTTTACAGTAACCTGAAAATTATGATTTTGTACAGTTTGAGAACAAAAGGATTTCAAATTGTATACATGGCAGAACTATAACTTTTGGTAAAATTTCAAAGCAGAAAAAGCCACTCAGGACAAAACTGCTGGAAAGTTAGCTTTTGTGAGTGAGCCAATGATCACTTTTCTTTCTATTCTTTATTTAAAACTTTCAATAATTGAGCAAACCTAACTTCCCCAAAGAAGGACCCTGTGCGGATGTCACAGTTCTCTTGAGCTGCAGTTCAGTCCTTCAGTGTCAGGGGGAGAAGAAATGAAATCATCTCTCATCATAGGCAACATGATTGTGAATGGAGGAAAATCTGAGGAAGTGACAAAAAATGACTCGGGAAAGTGGAACTTTGGACTTATCCCAGGCCCAAGTCACAGCTTTGTAAACCACAAAACTCTCCCTCTTGGTATCTGCACAATGGCAGCACCCACCTCTTTGTGATGAGGACTCGGGGGAGTTGGTTACCTTAAGGGGCATCCACACATCCACCCACCCATCCATCCACCCACCCATCCACCCACCCATCCACCCATCCATCTACCCACCCACCGACCCATGCATCCACCCACCCACCCATACATCCATTCACCCTCCCATCCATCCACCCATCCACCCATGCATCCACCCATCCATCCATTCATCCATTTATTCAACCCATTTACTTAACAAAGACTATGTGTCCAGCTGGGCTTTAGGCTCTGAAGTTGCAGATGTAGTGAAGAAACAGACATTCATCTCACAGAACTGACATGTTAAGGCAGAGGAACGGACTAGAAAGGCATGGGTAGACACTCCTGGAGATACAAATAGCTTGTAGGATGGCATGGGATGAGGCTCCTCTTCCAGGTGATGTCCTTTGTTCTCCCTCCCCACCAGCTCAATCCCCTCTCCAGAGCAGGTGCCAGAATGCTCACCTAGTTAGCCCTGTCTTGCATGACAGCTGAGTGCTCCAGGTGCCTGAGGCCAAGTCCTTTGTGTCTCCGCATCCTCAGAGCCCCAGATCTGGCCTGTGAGAGGCACGGCTGACATGTACCAATGAGCCAAATGATCACTGACTGTGCACTTCTTGCCTTGGTTCATGTTGACTTCTTTCCCTCCCACTAGCACAGCTGAGAAGGACCTTGTCTCTTTGTCTTTGCTCCCCAGGTCTGGTACTGCCAGGCATATGGGAGGCACCATGAAACATACATGAAATTGATAAACAGGCCTTTCTTCCAACCCATCTTATCTGTCTTTCCCACTGGACTGGGAGTCTCAGGTCCAGAACAAAGTCTTACTTGCTTCTACATCCTTTGAGGCCAGCACAGTGCTTGGTATCAAGGAAGCTTGTCAGTGTGTATTGGATGGATGGGAGGATGGATAGATGGATGGATGGATGGATGGATGGATGGATGGATGGATAGATGGATGGATGGATGGATGGATGGATGGATGGATGGATGGGTGGTTGGGAGTATGGATGGATAGGAGTATGGAAAGATGGATGGATGAATGTGAGGATGGCTGGATGGGAGGATGATGGGAGGATGGATGGATGGATGGATGGGTGAATGAATGGATGGGAGAATGGATGGGTGAATGGATGGATGGGAGGATGGATGGATGGTTGTGTGGATGGGAGGATAGATGGGAGGCTGAGTGAAGGATGCATGGATGCTGGATGGATGGGTGATGGGAGGATGGATGGATAAAAAGGTCTATATTGATAGACCAATGGAGGAACGATGGAAGGTTCAGTAGAGTGCGTGAATAAGACAGACAGAAGAAAGCATGGGTGGTTGGATAGAAAAAATCAGTCTAGGATGTGAATGTGAGAAACACTGCTTTTTATTACATGCGTGTGCGCGCGCGCGCGCGCGCGCACACACACACACACACACACACACACACACACCCAGTCATCATTTTAGAGAGTTAAAATCATTTCTGAACAACAAAAAAAGGCCAGAGAATAACTCAGCCAGAGTTTTTCTGGGTGAGCTACTTGGGAGAAAAAAATACGAGAAGGAAGGGCCCCAGAGCCGCTGATCCTCTCAAGTGGACGCTGCCCAGTAGAGGGACGATGGGGCACAGCATCGTAGCTGAGCACAGTGGGGCTGCAAGGGGAGCGCGCACTGGGGCTCCCAGCAGCAGGGAAGATGACGAGGTCGCTCCTAGGCTCCTGGGGGAGGCGGGGCTTGGTGGAGAGGCGGCTCTGGGCCCCCCCCCCCCCGTCCTAGGGACTTCCTCCCTCCCTCGCAGTGGACGGTGAAGGCTGCGCTCAGGTGAAGGCCTCCCCGACACCCTCCCAAGCCAGCTGGTCTCCTTGGAGGCAGTGAGAACCAGTCAGGACTCCAACTGCCCCTCCTGCAGCACATAACCTCCCACCCAGGAGCAAGACGGACCGCAAGCCTTGGGGACGGCCCCTCCACCAAGGTCTCTCAGTGACATTGAGGTTGTTTGTGCCAATGTGCTCCCTTTTCCCGGGAGCACAGTGCACAGAAAACAGCCCAGCTGATGCGACTTATGGCAGAGATGGCCCCAGGGTCCGCAGCTGAAGACGGGGTCAGAGCCAGGTGCGGGCCCCACAAGGACGTGGTTTAACTGCAGGCGACAAGGAGCCTGTGAGCCACGCTCAGATGGGTTAAATGTAGCTCAAAGCCTCCCGAGGCGAGTGATTAATTTATCTGAAGAAGCAGGGTAAATGCCACAGACACAGACCTGGGACCAGAGGGGACACAAGTCCTAACTCAAACACTCACACACTGCAATGCAATCAGTGGCAAGAGACATCAGGGAGGGCTTTTCCGAGGAGGGGACCTGGCAGCAGCCAGCCTGATCCTCCATTCAGTCAGTGTTTACTGAGCACCTACTTTGCGCCAGGCTCTGAGCTGGGTGTGAGGTTGCCGGGTGACCAAGGCAGGAAGCCCTGCCTTTCAGGAGCTGAGGGTCCCCTGGGGGACACAAGACCTCCAGTGAACCCCAGCTTGGAGGGGTGAGTGTGGCAGGGGACAGCAGGTGCCGGGTGGGGCGGGATGGTGCATACAGGGGCGGGAGGGGCTGAGGCAGGCTCGGAGGAGGTGCCCCGGCCTTGGAGAAGATCAGGACCCACCGGCAGGGGACACGAGGTCACAGGCAAGTCCTTGAGGCAGCTTTGGAGTGCAGGGGTGCCTGCGGGTCTCTGTCTGTGTCTCTTTGTCCGTCTTTGGGCCCTTGCCCCTTCTCCTCTGTCTCCTCTGTCCGTGTCTCCATGCGTGTCTCTGTCAGGACCTGACTGCCCCGTGAGTCCCCTGTATATCCCTCGCAGCCCCTGGCTTTCTCCCTGCCTGATTCATCCCCGTCCTGCTCTTCTGTGTGAGAGGTCAGCAGGAGACAAGGGTGCTAGGGAAAAAAGCCTGGCGGGTGGGCAGGAAGCAAGGTCAGGGACACAGGGGCAGCTGAGCACAGGGACAGGCGGTGACTGAATGTTCTGTTTTGGAAAGACAGCTTGGTCAGGGCCGAAGGTGGCTGACCACGAAACCTGATAACCTGGCCAGACTCCGCCCCAGCAGGGCCTCTGGCCTGCAGCCTGTGGCTGGCGGGCCGCGCACATTTTCCCAGGGGAGGCGGAGGGGGTGGTGAGGGGCCTGGGGCCAACAGGAAGAGATGCACACCGGCAAGCTCTCGGGAGAGGCCTCAGTGGGCTTAAACAAAAAGGCCTTGCTGATCTCCATGTGCTTTTCAAGGATTCCACAGGGTGTAAGCACGCACTGTGTGCCAGGCCCTGTGCTGGGTAGGCCCCTGCTGCCCTCCTGAGTTGGGCACGGTGGCTTAAGATGGTGGCTGTGCTCCAGCCAGAATGCCTGAGCCTTGTGACCTTGCACAAGGTCTTTAGCCTCTTCTTCTGTGTGAAATGGAAAGTGAGCAGCGCCTCATCCCTTTGGGTAAGGTTAGAATTGGTTAAGATGTGTAAAGTGCTAGAATGAGGGGGCTGGGGATTTAGCTCAGCGGCACAGCACCTGCCTAGCAAGCACAAGGTCATGAGTTCGATTCCCGGTACCAGGGCCAGGGGGGAAAGTGCTAGAATGAGGCTTGGTGTACAGTAAGTGCTCAGCAAAGTGCAAATTTTTGCTACTTCTGCCGTGGGATGGAAGCGATGAGGTCGAGCAGGAGCAGGAGTGGGGTTCAGACACTCGCCGCACCTCCTCCAAGCTCTGTGACCTTGGCCAGGCCTTGACACCCCTCTGGGGCCTAGTGAAGGTGACCTTGGGGCTCACTGGGCTCTTCCTGTCCCCAGAGGAGCCAGGGAGACAGGGCGCACCCTTGTGCTCAGCCCAGCGGAGGCAGCCACCTCAGCCCCTCTCTCCACGGTGGAAACTGAGACCCAGCAAGGGGAAGACGGTGCCAGGGCACAGGGCCTCCTGCTCCTGGTCTGGGCCGCTCCGAACCTGAACCGCTGTGACAGCCCCACCTCCTCCTGTCAGAGCCACCACGGCCTCCATGTTCAGACGTGTGCTTCTGCCTCAGGGTCCCTGGGCCTGCCCGACCCAGGGCTCACCTCGGAAGTGAACCCATAAGCCCGCAGAGCTGGGTCCACCCAGCGGTGCCGTCCCTGTTACATCTCCCTGTTCTGTCCCACCTGAGAAAATGCCATGTGGCCATCAAGCCCCTGGCAACTCCCCCGCCACCAACCCAAGAAGCAGGTGATGAGTCCAGTAAAATTGCAGAAGGGACACACAGGTCTGGTGCCTACAGCCCAGAGTTCCCAGGCCTGGCTATGTGACTTTGGACATGGGATTGCCCTCTCTGGCCCTTGGTTTTGTCATCTGTAGAATGGGTATGATTGTAGTACTCCCTCCCCTCCATTGATGTGCATGGCAGGGGCTCAGGTAATGGAGCTGCTCCAGCTGAACTCGGCAGCTCCCACCTGGCTGAGCTTGAGGCCCTGGGGTGGCTCCTCGGGAGACAGTGTGCTGCCACCTGCTAGCTGCGTGACCTTGGACAAGAGATTTAACCTCCCTAGGCCTTAGCTCCTCCTTCAGTGGAACAGACGTGATAGCTGCACCTCTGGCTTGGGATGCTCACCTGAGGTAACTTGTGTGAGGGGCCAGGGACCCACCAGGCACCCAGCGGGGCCACAGGGTCTCTTCAGGGACCTGGGGAGAAGGGATCCCTGTACACTGTACAGGAACCAGAGAACATGGAGGGAAAGGCGTGGAGAGGGCTGACCCAAACCTGCAGGGGATCTAGGAGCAGGGCCGGCCCCACAGAGGGGAGGCCCAGTGTTTCTGTGAGGTGGCACCTCCGCCTCCTGCCCAGCGCAGAGCCTTGGAGTCGCCTGGACCCCTGGTCCAGAAGCCGAGACCTGTCAGCTGCCCCCGTTTAGGACGGGTCCCGGCTGAGACCACAGAGTTCTGAGCACGTCCTACCTCTACTGGGGATTGAACCCAGGGCTTTTGCACTGAGCTAAAATACTGTGGTGAGACAGTGTCTCAGTAAAACACTAAGTTGCCCAGGCTGGACTCGAACTTGTGATCCTCTGGCCTCAGCCTTGCAGAGTGCAGGGATTGCAGGCGTGAGCCTCCACACGCAGTTTCCTTAGTCCTTTCTGCCATCTAAAACAGGATGTTTAATTTCCTTGTCACTACTTATCCCTCCTGCGCTCCCCCGGGGCTTCAGGGTCAGCCGCACGAGGGCAGGATCGCTGTTTGACTCACACACAGGGCAGGGCAGGCATCGCCGTCCCCACGGCAGACTAGCAGGCCGGCGTGGGAGCCGGGGACGGAGGCTTCTGCGGGCCGTGGACGGCACGAGAGGGGATCAGGGTGAGGGTGTTTGTGGGCGGGGCAGCTGGGAGCACAGGGGTGACACAGACAGCCGAGGATACCTGGTGTCCTGGTTTCCGGCCTGGGCACCTGTGAGGCTGGGACTGCCCAGGGGTTCAGGGGCCCTCGAGGGCAGCTCAGTACAGCACAGCTTGGGGGAGCGGCCTCCGGACACTGCTGCGGGGAGCATTGTCACCTACGCTCCCACTGACTTAGGGGACTCTGAGGGCGCACCACTCCCCGAGCCTCAGTTTCCCCAGGTAGGACGATGACACCTCCGAAGACTGGTCAGCTCGTGCCATTGAAGCGCCCGGCATCCAGTGGGCGCCCGGTCAGGCTGGCTGCCCCCAGGGCACTGTGTCTTGTTATTTTTAACTGTGGCCCCCTGGCTCGCAGTTCAGATCTGAAGGCCTCGGTGGGAAGACCACAGCACAAGCGAGGGCCGGCTCCCTCGGCACCCAGATCAAGGCGTGGAAACTCCAGGGAGGCCGCCTTGGCCCGGGCCCCGCCCGGTGACCCTGTGTGCGAAACTATGTCATACCACCAGATACTGTTTGTAAACAACGCTGACCTTTCCTGAGCAGGGCCGGGTGGGGTTTTTTCTCCTGTGCTCGGCACCCACCGCCCCCTCTCCCCTGCAGCCATCCTCACCCCAGGAACTGCGGGGACCCCGGGCCAGCTTGGGGGCAGAGCCAGGCACCGGGCCCACTAGCCCCTGCCTGGCGGCATCAACACCTCGGAGCACCTCGAGACCAGCCGGCCCGGGGGTATTTTTAAACTCTGGCCTTGGCCAACCTCTGTCACATTCCAGCTGGGCTTGGATTTAGTGTGCATCCTGGAGAGGGCAGCGGGAGCTTTGGGATTCACTGAACAACAAATATTTAACCAAATTCCAGGTCCTGCCGACCTACTATGTGCTGGGCCCCTATGTAAGAGAGGACCCCAGGGCCCACCCTCCCAGCGCCTGTCCCCACGCTGCTCTCACCTGACCACACGTGATTGGCGCCGGCACGGAGCCTAAAACAGCAAGTCCAGCTCAGACATCGCCAGCGCCGGGGTCCTGTGAGCCAGGGAAGTGGCCAGGGCGAGACTCCAGGGATGAGTGGGGACTGGGGTGAGCGGGGAGTTCAAGCCCTGTCTGACGGGGGAGCGTCTGCAGCCCTGAGGGAATTGGCCCAGTGCCCAGAGGAGCCGTGCAGCTAGGCTTATGGGAGATTTTATGCAAAAAAAAGTCTTGATTTTTAAATGTTAGCAATGAAATTTTTACAACGTTAAAAACATTCTGGGAGCCAAAGGAAGCCGTTTGTGGACAGGACTCAGCCCGCAGAGTCAGGGCACTGACGTAACAGTCTGCCCTTGTTGCAGGCGCACGCACGGCAGGAGCCACCAAGCGCGGCCAAGCACCTACTGTGCGCCCCTCCTGCCGCTCCAGGCCACAGGAAGAGGCGGCAGCGGCAAGGGGCCGGGGCTGAGGCCGCCCGAGTGTCTCCCGTGCAGCGGTGTTTCGGGCTGGCTCCTCCTGGCTCGGTCTGCAGGCTAATTGCTATGTACAGCCTCCATTAAATAGTCAACAATTTGAACTTGGAATTTAAAAAATTATAATAAAAGCAGGGGGAACAACTGCTCCAAACTCATCACTTTGTAATTTACTGCAGTCTACACACTTGAGGTATTCACATCTGTTGTAGCCAGCGTCCTCTGCTGCGGAAATGGTGCATCGGCCCTGTACAGCTGCATTCACGGGAGGAACGTGGTGCCGGAGGCCGCTGAGGCAGGACTGTCTCCACCACAGTGCCTGGTGCCTGGGATAATCAGTCTCCCTCGCCAAGAGGGGTGAAACGTTTAGCGGAGAATTGGATGAAAGCAAACACACCGATAAACGGGTAACCTGCCAGACAGTGATCGCTACCATGTGGAAAATGAAAGGGCAGTGGTGAAGGGGCAGAGTGCGAAGATGGGCAGGTCCCGGAAGGCTTCTCAGGGGAGGGGAGGTGTGAGTGGAGACTCCAGGAAATGCGAGAGGGAGTCAGACAGACAGACGGCTGGCAGGAGGGCATGGAGTTTTTGCGGGCAGGCAGGAACTGGCCTCCTGGTTCAGGAGTAGGAAGGAGAGAAGCGGCAGGAGCACAGTGGGGTGGGTAGGGAAGAGGTTGGGAAGTGGAAAGGGGTCAGATCATACAAGGTCTTACAAGCCATGGTGAGGAGCAGGGTTTTTATTTTAGCAGGCGTGGGGGATCCTGGGGATTTTTGGGATGGGGTAAGAAGATGTTATATGTCCTTTAAACATTTCCTCAGACTGTGTGAGTACAGTGGAGCAACGATGGAAGGCAGAGCACCGGGGAGGGAAAGCCGACTGTCACCGTCTGGATAGGTGAGGACAGGGGCAGCCCAGGTGTCGGAGGCTGTGAAAGTGGCAGCAGTAATGTGGACCTGGGATGAGCAGCGACCCCTCCGTTTCCATGGTTGGCTCGGGGTCCCCCTTGGGTACCAAACTCCAAGGATGTGCGAGTCCCGCAGTAACATGATGTCCTGCTTGCAAAACCCTGCCCGTGTCCTCCTTGGACTGTAAACAGCTCCAGGTCTCTCGTGACACCTGCCCCCGCGTGAGCGCTGTACGAGTCGCTGTTGCACTGCTGCTCAGGGAATGGCCACAAGACAAACATCAGCGTGCGTTCAGCACAAACACAAATATTTAAGAACATTTCTGGTCTGGGGTTGGGTGAATCCACAGACACGGGGCCCTTGGGTCGCTGTCCAGACAACAGGATCCGTGATGGAAGACGGGTGTGGAGCGACAGAAAACACCACCCACGATATGCCCTGAGCACCCTGGGGTGGGGGCGCCGTGCCACTTCCTGTGGGAGGGGGACTCAGGGGCCGGACAGGGTTTTAGGAGGAAGTGAATATGGCTCCATTCTGAGGAGCGTGAGGGTCATGGTGACACCCGGCGGCGGTGCCCACTTGCTAGGCGGTGTGGCAGTCAGGGCAAGATGGGTCTGGAAGCCATGTCCCTCTTGTCACTGCAGCCCAGGGGCAGAGCTGTGGGGAGGCCTCTGCATCCACAGTGAAACACACAGATGGAACGGCGGGGCGGAGAAAAACATGGTGTTCTCCCTCACTCCCCCTCCCCTCCCCTCCCCTCCCCTCTCCC